TAAAAAAAGATTTTATTTATTTATTTGAGAGAGAGTGCACAGGCAGGGGGAGAGGCAGAGGGAGAGGGAGAAGCAGGCTCCCCGCTGAGCAGGGAGCCAGAAGTGGGGTTTGATCCCAGGACCCTGGGATCATGACCTGGGCCCAAGGCAGATGCTTAACCAACTGAGCCACCCAGGTACCCGGAAAATATCTTCTTTAAAAAAAAGAAATGCATACCAAAGTATTTAGGAGTAAAAGTCATAATGTATTCATTGATTTTTTTTTAAGGCAATGTCTGATCCACTGTTAAGACCATCTACTAAGTTTTTTATTTCAGGTTTTTCAATTCTAGAATTTTCTTTCTCATGTATGTGTGTGTATATGTGTGTGTTTTAGTATCTATTTCTCTATTGGGTTTTCACATCTGTTCATTCATTATGCCATGTATTCCTTAAATCCTTTAACATATTTATAATAGTTACATTGCAATCTTTGGCTGTTAATTTCAACATTTGCACCATTTTTGTGTCTGTTTCTCTTGACTGCTTTTTTTCCCTGGTTATGGGTCATATTTACTTACACTCTGATATAATTAGTAATGTTTTACTCTATGCTGGACATTGTGGTTTATGTTGCCTTCCTTTAAATAGAGTTGAGTTTTGTTCTTACTTGGTGGCTCAGTTTGATGCTGCTGAGGTTACGTTTTGTTAGGGAGGGTCTAGAGTAGCCCTTTTTCTTGGGCTACTAGTCCTAGTCCTAAGACCTGAGCTTCCTGGACTCTCAATCAGATGCCCACATTGCTCAGCAGGGGTTTCTTAACTCTCTAAGGTCAGAAACCTAACAATGCAGTCTGACTGCATTGCAGCACCATGCGATCTGGAATCTTGGTTCAGCCCTCATGACCCAGTCTGTTCTCTGCCCAGTCTCACAGAATTTCATCTCATCTTGCAGTTCAGTATTCAGACAAAGATGCCAGAAAACTTCTCTGCATGTTTTGGGAGCTACATTTCTGTGTTTCTCTCTTTTCTGTGGCACCATGTCCTGCAATTGCAACTTGCTCCAGCAACCTCAGACTCTGATCTTTGTTCGTTCTACCCAGTGAGACTACTCCTTTCTGTTTGGACTCCTCTTCCCTGTGCTACAGTTTGGAAAGTGACTCAGGTAGAATATAGACCTCATCACATGTGTTGCCCATCTTTCAAAGATCACAGCCTTGCACTGTCCACCCAATTCCTGAAAGCAGCTAGTTCATACATATTGTTCAGTTTCATGGTTAATTACAATGGGAAGTCAAGTCCAATACTTGTAACTCCATCTTGCCTAGAACTAGAAGTGACATCAACTTGCTTATTAATCTCTGAACTTCAGGTTCACCAACACCTGTGGCATGAGGCATTGGGCTAGATCAGTGGTTCTCAAACATTAGCACCACCTGGAGGGGCTTCATCCTCAGAATTACTGAGGTCTGGTGTGGGGGTATACAAGAATTTACATTTTGGGGTGCCTGAGTTGTTCAGTCGGTTAAGTGTCCAACTCTTGATTTCAGCTCAGGTCATGATCTCAGGGTTGTGGGATTGAGCCCTGCATTGGGCTCCACACTCA